TCTCTCTCTCTCTCTCTCTCTCTCTCTCTCTCTCTCTCTCTCTCGCCCTTCCCTCCCTCTCTCGCCCTTCCCTCCCTCTCTCCACCTCTTTCTCAAACTCCTTCCCTCACTGTCTGCTCTCCCCCTCCCTTCCTCCCTGTCTTTTCTCACCACCCTCCTCCACCTCTTTCTCCTACTCCCTCCCTCCTTTCCCATCAGCCAACCACGACCCCAGTGATTTCTGGTCCTATCTCCATTTTAAATAACAGTGAAAACAGTTCATAACAAAGAGTGTGAGCTTAAGAAGACATCAGATTTTTCACTGTTATAAAAAAAAAATGGAGATACGACAAGAAAGCACTGAGCTCGCGAAACCACAACAACTACTACTCCCTCCCTCCCTCCCTCCTGGCGTCCTTGCAGAAAAGAACAGAAGAACGTTCAACCAGATGTGCACTGGCACAATCAGTAGAAGGACCCTCAGCGACATTTTGAAGAGAGCAACGGAGCATCAATGGACGTGTAGTCCGGAGTGCACGGATGTTGCTTCCTGAAACAATGAACAATGAACAATGAACAATGAACCTTTCCCATCAAGAACAACACCAACTTCTACGAGCAACAAACTTTTACTTTTTGGGCATCCGAGCTTTGGCCTCCTGCACCAGGAAGAAGAGACAGGAGAAATGCACGCAGAACTGGAGGAACACGGTGAGCACGGTGTACACGTTGAAGATGGTGGGCAGAGGACGCTCCTTGGACAACGTACGCAGCGGCTGCCCAAATAACAAGAATAAAAATTATAATTACAATTTGCATCCCGAGGGCCTCCAAGTAAACTATGGTATGTCATGTTTTTCAAACTTTACAGAAGAGACCAAAAAAAAGATTTTCTTTAAGCCTTTTTAGGTGGATAAACTTCATGTTCATAAGGGAGCCTACAAATGCCAAGACAGACATTAGGCTCCCTTATGAAAACAAAGTTTATCCGCCCAAAACGCTTAGAGAGAATCCGCTTTTCGTCTCTGCTGTACAATTTAAAAAATATGACTAACCGTAGTTTACTTGGCGGCACTCGAATACGACAGGCCTGCAGAGAAAACGAGTTACTTCTTGGGATTTAGCCCTACGTACACAGATCTAGAAATCAGATATATATACACTGAGTTTGGACAAGTTAAGATAAGAAATGATCAAATACATGTTAAGCTTGGAAAATAGTATCAATTGAAAATCTGCAAATTTGATGTGTTGATTTTTGGTCCTCAACGAGATGATCAATAGGCATCAAACGTTAAAAAATCACAGGTATATCAAACACACACCTTTAAACCAAGAAAGAGTGAAAACCATTACATAAAAAAGTGTACACACTGCTTGAACATATAAAGACCACCCTATATCCCTACAAACAAAACACACAACAGACACACACACAACAAACAAACACACAACTAACAAACGACACACACAACAAACACACGACACACACAACAAACACACGACACACACAACAAACAAACAAAGCACACAACAAACAAAACACACGACAGACAAACAAAACACACAACAAACAAACAAAAGACACAACAAACAAAACACACGACAGACAAACAAAACACACAACAGACAAACAAAACACACAACAGACAAACAAAACACACGACAGACAAACAAAACACAAATCAAACAAATACACGATAGACAAAACACACAAATAATAATAATAATAGATAATAGATAGCATTTGTATAGTGCAAATCCCCGCTCAACAGCAAGCTCTATGCCCTTCACAATCTATACTATTACCCCAGCAGACCGGAGAGCATTCTGAAACAACCTTAACTTCCTGGGAAGCATACAGTGCAAGCAGCCATTTATAGGAGCTAAAACACTTAACATACTGACAAGATCTTTCGCTGTCTATGGCTGGGTACCCATCCCCACCTGGATGAAGTGAGGAAAATTCCTGTAAAGTGCCTTGCCCAAGAACACAACATCGGGCCCGCGGCTCGAACCCCCGACCCCGCAACCTCACGATTACGAGTCCGGTAGCCTAACCACTAGGCCACCGACACCACAACAAACAAACAAACCACACAACAAACAAAACACACACACAAGGCGTTCCCCCCCACCTTGGAGCGAGAGATAAAGAGGAAGCATCCGGCCAGCAGCAGGCCCTGCATGGTGGCCTGACCGTCGCTGAACTTGATGCCGTCCAGGTAGAGCACGCTCTGACTGTAGGCCAGGATCAGGGCGTTCAGGGCCAGGATCTTGAACATCTGCAGCGTGGTCACCAGAGTGCAGCGGCCCTGTTTGATGATGTTACACACTGCCGGTGGGGGGGGAGGGGGAGATATGAGATGGTTTGAGCAGAAGTTACATGGAGGGGGGGGCAGACAAGAGATAGTTTTAGTAAGATGTTACACAATGTTGGTTTTGGGGGTGGGGGGCTTTGGGTTTTTTGGTTATTTTAGTTCTAGTAAAGATTTTACGGCACCCCCCCCCCCCACCACACACATACATCCACACACAAACACACCCCACATACCCCCCCTCCCTCCCCCCTCATAACAGTAGACAACTTGGAGATGACGGGTGAGGCCACAATCTTTTCTACGAAACCACACGTACAATTTCTCCCACCCCCTCCCTCCCCACAACGTCTTATTCACACCACACCCCACGTCCCCATTCCCCGCATCTTCCACAAAAGCACATCCCACATCCCCACAACCTCTTATCCTCACCATCCCCCACACCCCCCAACACACACATCACAC